TACTTTAACTTTAAAATTCTAATTGGGCTACCCTAGGAGAAAGTAAATTATGCAAGTCAAAAATCTGAATAGTTTACCTCCTGGGAGGAGGAAATGGGTGAGAGAGAGGGGGGGGGTAGAAACTGATTTCCTGAATCAATTTCTTTTCTGTTTCTGAGAAAGGATAACAATATTCACGTTTTCAATTGTCAACTTGACTTAACTTAGCAACTTGCAAAATAAAAAAGAAAGCTTATAGAGATTTATTGAATTTGCTCAGTACTAACTGGAATGAGAAATAGTTCCAACTTTTCTGTCAGATGGAGAGAAAAGGGGGTTACATTTCAACTTCTTTATTAGCTCATTTTGATAATGCAATTACACATACAGTGAACTTTTTAAAGGCACATAGCACATGCATATCTTCACAAAAATGCTGCAAAAATACTCGAACAAAACTAGTTTAAATATCTTTATAGCATGCAAAGATTTAAAAAATCTCACCACTGTCCAAAATGTGAAAAATCAGCTTAATTTTTCATATATAGTGACAATATAATTAATAATGAGTTGCCATTTTAGTATATGAATGGAAAATTGAGGACGTTTTGATATGGGATGAAGCAAGCTAAAGTTTAGTTGGGGAAAGGCTAGAAGCATGCAAAGGCAATGATGATGGACAAGAAACAAGAAAGGATGAAATGTATGGACTGGATTTGCCTTAGCTTATTAAGGCAAGACCTAATTTCTGAACCAGCTGCTAGACAAGGAAGGAGAACTAGTGAGAAAATTAAGGCACTTTAGATCATAATCTTCCTGGGACAAGATACTAGGCCACAGAATAGGCAAAATATCACAAACATATGGGAACATTTTTGTGTGAAAAACTAACTTTTGGGAAACATAGTTAAAACACAATAAGGTGACAAAGTTTCCATAATAATAATAGTAATATCTTGTTCTGGATTATTCAAAAAGGACAGACAGGATACCTTCTTAAATATGTAACCAACAAGGAGAGAAATAGACAGGAATGGAAATCTATGAAAAGAATAGATAAACATCTTGACCAAAAATTAGACAACATAATTTCTCCCACCTTTTCTTTAGAAGCTACTTAGGATGCATGTGTTTAAGAACAAATAAATAGCATAACTAATGCTTTACATAATAGGGTATATATATACATCCTGGAGCATTTGCTTGGAACACAGATCAATACTCCATTTATTCTAAGAAATATTTCATATTAAGTGCTTTCCTATCTAAGTTACTTCACTACATAACTTAGATAACTTACACAAATAACAATAATAGTAGCATTATATCTGTCTCTACAATGTGGGTGTAATATTTGTTTTGTCTAATATCATCTTCTAATGATTCCACAGACATGACCACTCTGCTTTTGTTACAATACTACCCACCATAAACACATGCAAAGTTTGTCCCTAAAGTTGGCATTGTCAATTCTTGATGGGGAAAAAACCATTGGCACATCACAGCCAAAACTAAGGGTGAGAGACAGATAATATTTTTTCTTTACAATAAACAGTGAAAGAGCTGTCGTGTTGTTTCCAGTAACAATACACCAGCCATGAAACATGCAGGTAATACACAAAGTAAAATTGTGGCATATTTGGAAAATTAGAAATAAAAATATGCTGATTCCAAGCTATGGAATAAATTCCCTCAGGACCTGCTCTCAGTATTTTCAAAAGGTAATCAAGTTCTTTTTCTTCAGCTATGCATTCAGTAAGCTGGTTTAAACATGATTTTTATCTGTTTTAATGAGATTTGAAAGTATCTTCCTTTCTATCTTCCTTCCTTCAATGAATATCAAGCTATTTGTTTTTTAAGAAATCACCTAAGCTTGATAGATTTAATTTTTCTCTTTCTTAAAGTTCATCCTGCTGGGGTTTTTAGGAAGAAACCAGTTATAAGCGCTCACTAGAAACTAAACAAGTATCAGTGGAGGATTTAGAACAAATCCTATTACATCGGTTGAACTGCTAATACGCTTATTAAAAGTAAAAGTATGAGTTTTAGCATGTATTCCTCCATAAGAGGCGTCTGACATGCATTTACCCTTTGTGATCAAATATCAGATGAAAAATAAATAATTTTTTTAGGAATACTTAAAGCCACACTGGAAAAATAGAGATAATCTGGAGATAATGATCATTAAATAAAGCAGACTGGTTTTGGCTAAGCTATATCTGAAAATGCACACAGAGTACGTTATTAAATAAATAAAAGTCAAGACACAGAAACACATGCCAGAGTGTATAGCATGGGAGCTGGCACATACAGAAAAGCTACAACATACTACAGAAATTTAGCAGAGGTGGTATTTAGCAGGTTCTGATCAGTTCTGGAGAACCGGTAGCGGAAATCTTGAGTAGTTCAAAGAACTGGCAAATACCATCTCTGACTGGACATTTTAAAGTATCCTTCCCCTGTGCCATGCCCACCAAGCCACTCCCACAGAACCGGTAGTAAAAAAAAAAAATTGAATCCCTCCACTGTAATTTAGGCATTATGATTACAAGTGGGGCAAACAAACAAAAAACCCCCAAATGTTTTAACTCCTTTCTCCCTCCCTCCCTCTGCCTCTCCCTCCCTCTCTCTCTCCCCCACTTTTCCTTTAATGAACAACTCAAGATGGCAAACATATCAAATGCTGCTTCCTCCTCCTATTTTTCCCACAACAACAACCTGTGAGGTAAGATGAAGTGAGAGAGATTGGCCCAAGGTCTTTCATGGCTAAATTGGCACAGAAACACACCATGTCCCAGTTTCTGGCCTGGTGCTTTAACCACAAGACCAATCTGGTTCTTAGTGAATGGATTATAATGGATAATAGATCTCAAGAATCATTTTTCTAAAAAGTAGATCTCATGAACCAAATGTTATCATATGAGGAACAACCAAGAAGTGAAGTAGACCCCATTATTATTTTCAATAAAAAACAATGTCCGAGTTTCAGTACTGTGCTGAAAGAGTGCCCCAGTTTTCCTAACACTTAAGGAGGTACTTCTTCACATTTGAATCATTGTCTTGCCAGTTTACAGCCACAAATCAAAATTTAAACAATAAGTTTTAAAGAATGCTACATTCTAGCAAAAGTTTTTGAAGAAGGTCACGTAATTAAGGAATTGTAATGTACAATCTACAGATACTATGGCATATATGTTGTGCCAGTAACATTCACATTTTCCCTGCCCAAACATTAATAATGCAATTTTTTGACATTTACATTTAAAAGGCCAATTCTCTCAAGATTTGCTGAAATAATAACAAAATGTTTTAGTGTTTCCCAGATAATAGGAAGAAATTTTTTAACAAAATATTTCCATTCCATACCTACCTTTCAGCTTGTCAAAAATAGTTTCAGTGGCTTTACTTTATAGAAAAACACTATAATTAGAATAATGTGAGAATCTAACTAGATTTTAAAAGCACTTGCTAGATATCCAATAGACAGAAATTTAAATCCCTATTCTTCTTTAATACCAACATTTTTAATATTTACACTTTGAAATGAACAGGTTCTTTTAATGTATATTTTACTTTAATGAGTATTATTACAATTTTTTAATATGAAAAAGATTTGAACATGGTGATTTTTGTTGTAGCATAGACATTTTAAATTTATCATAGCAATTTAAAAAAATGACCATGAAAATAATTCATATATATATTATAACTTGTCTAAATTACGTTGGCAGAAAAGGAAACACATCTCATCCTCTTTGATAGCAATCTACACTTAATCTTTCGGCTATTTTAAATAACTGAAAAAGTACCTAATAATGTTTTACAATTGTACTATTGTACTAATTGTACTATTTGTTTACTTTACATTAAGGCAAATAAACTGATGTGTGACATCAGAAATGAATTCCTTTCCTGAATTTTAATTGCCAAGCCTGTAACTACAAAACATCAGTAAATGTTAATGTATCTTTTTATTGAATCAATTGAGTGTAAAGGTGTGAAAAATTGCATTGGCATAAAAATTAACAAAACCAAGAATTTTGAAAATCCTACGTTTATTCAATATATTTTCCAAACACATTACTCTGTCTATGCATATACAATTCTGCAAAAAAAAACAAAAAAAAACTAAATAAATATGTTTAAACATTTGTATTTCCTAGTATGATAAATTACAGCAGGATTTAATACCGTATTAATGTTTCTAATATAAATAATTATGTGGATCCAGCTGCACTCAGAATGCCCCATTCCATTCAGATTTCTCCATGCCAATGCTATGAAGTAAACATGTACTGAAAGCATTAACATGAGCTAGTTTATATTACGACTATTATCAAAAGTTCATTCGTGGTGGAACTATAATCAGCAACATTCAGATATCAACTTTTATCATGAAAGGTAATCCTGTCAGAGTATATTCATGAACTGGAATAGAATATGGTAACCAGGTCAGCCAATGAATAGGCATAGCAACTAAGTCAACCAATGAGAACTGTTTGGAAACTGAAACTAGATGTAGCCTAGGCATGGCTCTATATTAAGCTCTGCAGCTCTGAAGTCTGTATATTGAAGCTGAAACTGCTTCTCTCCTCTGCTGTGTGTCTTGCTTGCCTGCTGAACTAAAGTGCAACTGATGTCTGTTTCTCTGTTGAAGTTGAGTTGCTGCTCAGCTCTGAATTTGTAACATGTCTCCTTCTGTTTGAGTTTGCTCCATGTTGGAGAAATGTACAACTGGTATTGTAAAATTTACTTAATATGTTTATAAAGATGTTAAATGAAGCATCAGTCATCTGTGTTTATTTTTCTGGTGCTGAATTCACGCTGGAAAACTCTGGACAAATCCTTCAATAGAATTACAAAACATAGACGTATATCTCTCTGGAATATTACCTCTTTGGAAGGTTTACACCACTTAAAAACTACCTAGAATCAGAGTCTAACAACACCTTGCAGTACAATTTGGCAACTGAAGTGTATAACAGAATAGCAAAAAGAAGTATCAGCATGGAAACTCTTACTTTAACTTCCACAGTCTTCCCATTGTGGTCAATATGTCTCTCAAGATATTCTGAAGACAGTAGATCACTGAAACAATAGGAAAAAATATTTATTTATCAAATCTATATGCCTCTCATCTCACAAGAAAAATTATACACCACACACACACACACACACACACACAATTATTTTGCACTATACATCTGTGCTAGCCACCTAGTAAAAAGTACCATTTGTGTATAATAGAAACTGTTTTTATATATGTGCTAAAAATACTTGGCTGGTAAATCCACTAAGCTTCTGTTTCAAGTGCAGTATTTTTCTCATCACAATGTATACAACACCTACACTTAAGGATAACTCAGTTGCTTTTTAAAACATATATATGGAATCAAGCTCACTTCTTAAATAAAATATAAAATTTATTATACAATATTGATTCCATGACTGCTATCACTGTCTCACAAACGGTATTAATCTAGAAATCAGGTTGCCAATAAAGTGTATTACTTTTTTTTAATATGATCAAGCAAACAATATGTGGCAGAACTCATTTCTTTTTGCCCTTGGCATTTTAATTCTCTTGTATGTATTAACACATTATGAAATATTTCTGAGCAACATCATCTTTATTTCAAATATTCTCTTGTTGTTACTAAGGTAATTAGCTCTGTGCAAGTAATCATCATGGTCATATGAGGGATTCTGACATGTTATAAACCAGGGTGTCAAATTCGATTTCACTGAGGGCAACATCAGGGTCTGACCTCGTGGGGGAACTGGCGTGGCCGCCATGAGGGCCTTGTGCAGTCCTCTGCCAGTGAAAACAGAGGTCAAGGGGGCATGCTTTTGCTGGCAGATGGTTGCAGGAGGCCGTCATGGCAGAAAATAGGACCTGGGTAACCTCCGTTTTCACTAGCACAGGGCTGCAAGAGGCCATCATGACAAAAAATGGGACCCGGGGGTATGGCCCTCCAGAGGTCCATTTTCACTGGCAAAGGCACTATGGGCCAGTCCTTCTCTGGCCAGATTTAAGCACCCCACAGGTCAGATCTGGCCCACAGCCTTCAATTTGACACCCCTGTTATAAACCTTCATACAACCTTAAAAGGGGATAGGAGTTCAGGACACAGGCATAAAGAGTTTCTCAAAATCCCCAGTATAAGGCTCATGAACATTAGGAGGTATGGGGAAAACATTTTGAGCTTAAGGCAGCTATTTTGAAACAGGCTTTTCAACCCTTTTGAAACTCAAAGTATCTGTTGTGAGATTGAAACACTTCCCAAATATTCAGAACTCAAAATCTTTCAAATTCAAAATGGAGTATTTTGAGCAGGAACATCTAAATTTGAAATTTTTTGCATCTCTTAAATATTAGCAAGTTTTCAGGGCACAGTATCTTCTGACTTAAAAGCATGTGTCATGTGCATATAAGCAAACTCATACAATATCTACGTGCACAAGAAAGCATTTTGCAAAGGAAAGCACTCGCCCTCACACTCCCTTTATTTTTTTTAAATTATATCTAGGTTCCATGGAGAGAAAATTGCCTGGAAATGCTTTTCAAAGCCATGATTAGTGCAATCAACACCTCTTTTGTGAATACAAAGCACAAAATATGAAGCTCAATTCACCCAGGCAAGAATCATCCTGACATTTCCTCTAATATCACTTAAGGTAAAAAAGTATGTAAAAAATCAGATTTCTAAAACCTTTTAATGCAATGCATAACATTTCATTCATTTTTATAAGTAGCTGGACAAACAGCAGCACAATATTTGTTTTGAAGAACTCTGAATCTAAATGTACACGTAATTCATTAAACCTGATGGCCAGCTTGATAAAATGTTAAGCAAATAATATACAAATAGTAACTCAGCTGTTAAATACCATAATGAAGCTGGGTACATACGCAGATACACACAAAAATAGTCTAAAGCACTCAAGACATTCAAAATACACATTAAATTGTGAGCAGTTAACAGTCTAATGGCCAATAATTCCTTATTATCACATACATTTTTGCAATATTATATGTAACGAAGTTCTTTTTAATCTGACAGTAAGGGGGAAACATAAAATCATCCTGATTGAATTGAAAAATGTACAGATAAGGAGCAACATAATTGGTATGGTAATCTGTATAAAAGTTACAGTAGAATAAAACATGAGCATAATAAGCCATTTGGTCCTATGGTTAAAGACACCAGGGTAGGAGCCATAAACATAAAATCATGTGGAAAACTTGAGGCAATCAGTCTCTCTCAGCCCTATGAAGAAAGCAATGGAAAACCACTTTGAAAAATATTGCCAAGAAACTGCCTGGATTTATTCAGGCAGTCCTAAGCAATTAAGTCATGATTTAAATTCTGCTTTCTGTGACTGCTAATGGAAGCACATCAGATGTACTCTTTCTGCCTCTCCTTTCTTTGGGGAATAAAGAAAATAGCTGGCAGGTTTTCTTATACAGAATTTCCTATTTTTAAATAGAATTCATGAAACGCATTGGGGGGAGGGGTTACCAGAGTCTACTATACCCATAACTCTACCCTGATCATTTTTTATAACTCTCATCCCACCACAGATCTCACTGTCCTTTAAAATATTAATGCTCCTGGGTCAACAAAATATTGTCCATTGTGCTTTCTGCTAACCTTTGAGGACTAACAACATAGTCCTTGAGTTATAACAGTAATTGGGACCAGAATTTCCATGGCTAAGGATAAAGTGCAAGTCACATGACCACACTGCTTAACAATGGCAATCCCAATGATCCCTATTACTGTTGCTGAATGAATTCCACCATTTGTTAGGTGAGGACCCAAGCTATTCTTGGCCTGGTCCTTTCTATCCACAAGGCTTGGTAAGATAAGGAATTGCCTTTCCTTCAATTCCGTCTTTCCATCTATCTCCCATCTCTGTCCCCTTGGTTGCCAGCCTACTTCTGCCATCAGCTGCCCCTGCCACCAGCTACACTGCTGCCCAAACTTCCCACCACACCATGCAACAATACTGTACTGGCAAATGCCTTCTTTTGTGCCACCTTCCTTCACACTGATGTAGCCAGGATTTGTCTTGCACCTTGTCCTCCAAACTGAGGCCTTGGGCAAGACACGAGAGAAGCCCCAGTTGCACTGGCACATAAGGAGGCAGCATCAAGAAGGACCTAGTCAGCACAGTAATGGTATGCAGTGTCACAGGCACTGTGGCAATGGGCAGGGCAGGTGGCAACAGTGAGAAAAGCAGTCAAAAGGCAATGGTAAGTGCAGGTGAGTTCAAATTGGCTAAATATGAGCACAGGCAGGGGTGGGATTCTACCAGTTCGCACCTATTCGCTAGAACCGGTTGTTAACATTCTAAGCAGTTCAGTGAACTGGTTGTTAGAAGAAATTACTGGCCTAATCCTGTAAGGAAGGCAGGAAGGAAACATTCTGGTGCTGCTTACAGAAACTGCCTCTCCGTTAACCCTTATTACATTCTTGGCAGGACTAGATTTCCTGTCTCAGAGTTTTTTCCCCCTCCTTTGCTGGTACTTTGCTTGCGTGGAGTGACCATTCAAAGTTACAATGGCACTGAAAAAAGTGACCATTTTTCACACTTACGACTGTTGCAGCATCCCCACAGTCATGAGAGGCCAGGCGAGGAGATGTGTGTCTCAAAGTGAGTGATATTGAGTTGGCCACGCCCAGCCAATAACATTACCACCAAGCCCATCACTTAACATGACCACCATGCCCACGACCTAAGCCACATCCACAGAACCGGTTGTTTAACCGGTTGTTAAAAAATTTGAATCCCACCCCTGAGCACAGGGATGCTGCAACAGTCTGAACTTCAAGATGGCCCTAAGTCTCTTTGTTCAACACCTTTGTTAACTTCAAATGGCTGCGGAACAAATGGATATTAAGTGAGGATTACCTGTACTTTCTTATATTTGTTACAACTGTTTTCTGGAAACTGTTATTCATTCTGTTTATCAAGGAATCAATGACTTAACTTGTTCCAACCACTACATCATATTAATGATCTACTTAGCTTAAGTTATCTAGTTTGATGTCAAACTCAAGACCCGGGGCCAGATCTGGCCCATGGGGTGCTTAGATCTGTCTCTGGGGCCACCCTGGAAACGGCCCACAGTGTCTCTGCCAGCAAAAATGGTGCTTAGGAGGCCACATGTGGCCCTTCCAGGTCCTGTTCTTCTGGCAGAGGGTTGAAGAAGGAGATCGCAGCTGGAATCAGAGCGCTCGGCCCACCAAAGGCACCCCAACATGAGTGACGTTGAGCTGGCCACGCCTACCCTGGCCACGCCTATCCCAGTCCCCTGAGATCAAACACAATCCTAATGAGGCTCTCAATGAAATGAAGTTTGACACCCCTGGTCTAGAGATTAAACCATTGAGCTAAAAACAGGAGGCTGGGAGCTGTATCTCACTTGGGCACAAAGTTGGCTAAGTGACTTTGGTGATTTACACCCTCTCAATCCTAGGAAGGAGACAATGGCAAATCACTTCTAAGCTATCTAAGTCAATCCAAGAATTGACAAGACAAAATCAATACAACAGTCAGAGACTAATCACAGGTAGCTAAATTTCTTTGAACTATATTAAATATAAATTGGTTGCTGAACTATAATATTTAAAAATAATTTTTTGACATGTCATCAGCACTGTTATCAAAAAAGAGGAAAGGACATGTTTGTTTCTTCCTGAGAAGAACCAGAGAAGTTTTTTAAAAAGGCTGAAATAGAGGAATAATCCTCAGTAGAATAGTCCTCCACGAGCAAAACTTTCTTTTTGGTTTCCAACAACTGAAAAGCAGAGGATGAGACAATCCTACAGCACAGCTGCTAAAGAGATGAGGAACTAGGCAGAAAACATGTTTAAGAATGAAACACACCTGTGGTTTAGTATCTTCTTTGAAACATAAAGCCACTCTCCGGATAAAAATGATGGCACACAAAACAATATACAATTAGGTTCCAAGGAGTATTTTATAGCAAACACATGTGCACTTCACTTTTTACAAGTTAAGTCATAAATGTTAATAATAACCAGAGCACTATTATGTCTGAGTTCTTGCTTAAAGCC